CACACACACACACACACACACACACACACACACACACATTAAACAGTTTTGTATTTACAGTCATAACAATACACAGCAGCTTCATTTTATATTTATTTCAATAGAAAATCTACTTTTTAACTTTCAACGAATTCAACTTTTTCAAGTCTGACTCAGTATTCGATGTCTGTTTATTTTTCATTCCTAACTTTTCCACTCGTTTATTCTCTCTCTGGCAGAAATGAGCCTCCGAACCTTCCTGTCGCTCCGATTGGCTGATTTGAATACCTGATAGTTCATGATGGCACGTAAACACATGATGCAGAGATGAACGTCGTCTTTCTGGCTCACGGCCCTGGAGTTCCTCACCACCTTCCTGTTTTGGAGAGAGTTGAATCTGCAGGTGAGAGACGCTGTTGTTACCTGAGCTGCCGTCACAAACACTTCTACACATTCACATCTATATGAACATCAACAGTTTGACTCCTCTGTCAAACCTGCTGTGGTGCAGAGGTGGCTGCTGGGATTGATTGACAAACTGGACGCTCTGGTTTATCTAATAACAGGGCCGAGTGTGTGTTTGACACATTTCTCACATTCACACTTTGACAGACGCCAACAAACAGGTAACACACAGACGTGTCCACAGAGAAGAGGAATTCAGATCAGAAACATGATTACACGTCTGAAAACACGTCTTTCCTCTGTGACGCCAACACAAAAGAACAAAACTAACATGTTTGTGTGTAAACATGCACATATGTGTGTGTGTGATATTTAAAACTGTCAGGCTCTTGTTAAAACTCTTCCGTCATCAACCTGCAGATTATTTAGTCAATTAAATAAATACTTTGATCTTATTAAACATCAAACACCAAGTAAATTTACTTTTGAAATAAAACCCTTCAGCCCTAGAATATGAGAAACACGTTGTGACCTCATACTTTTATTTTGAGTGTGTTGTTCTTATCAGTTCAATAAAACCATCGTGACGTATCTGAGATGATAAACAATCATTCTCATCTGGAACAAACTCGTCCCCTCGTCCCTGACGTCCCTGACGTCCGTCCTCGGCCTCCTCACCTGGCAGCGAAGGTTTTGCTGGTTTTGGTTGAACTGTGAGACGGAGAGCTGCTGGCACTTCTGCTCACGTCCTCCACCGACCTGTCCATGCTTTTATTTTTATCTGAGGGCAGAGAGCCGCCGTCCGAACAGTCCGCGTCCAACCTGCGAGTCACAGAAGAGTCCGAGTTTACTCTCGGTAAAAAAAACTTGATGAAGGTGTTGCTGTTTTACTTATTTGACGCAGGGATGACGCAGATGCACGACAGCTGCAGTGTGTGAATGAGACGATACCTACGTGACAGCGCTGTGAGCGTGAGACAGATAATCCACGAGGACGTCTAGTCCACGGTTTTCCTCGTTCAGGAACTCCTGAGCCCAGCTGACGAGAGGAAGACACATTTGAACCCAGCGGCTCCACGTGACTGACACTGTACAAAATAACTCCACAGAGAAACGTTCACCGAACTCTGTGTGACCTCGGAGTTTATCTCCGGATTAGTTAAACTTCTGGAGCTGATCGGTCGAAGGTCAAAGGTCAACAGCTAATACGTTCACGTGTTATTTGATCAGTGACGTGATGATGACGTCACAAGTAATCATCACATGGTAGGAACGATGTCATCATGACATCACTACGAAGTCAGACAACGACTTTAGATCAACCAATCGTTTGTCTTTTAATAAATAGTAAATTAAATTGATCAGATTTTATGTGATGTCATCGTTCACTTAACAGCTTCATCACTTTGTTCCGCACAGGAAGCTGACGACGACTCACCCGATGTGATTGGTCCTGAGGGAAATCTCCAGCTCTCTGAGGATCTGAGTCGACTCCTGGACTCGTCTCTTGAACTGACAGAAACATGTGCGGAGGTTAAAGGTCAGTGAATGTTTCCTAGATTACAGGAAGTGACATCACAGCTCATTATCATAATAAACAGAGCAGGTTTCTAACCTTTCGACTGACGCCGCCATGATCCAGGAAACTCTTCAGCTTGTCCAGGTACGCAGACGGTGGATTCTTCACCTGAAAGCGCTCCTGCACACACACACACACACACACACACACACACACACACACACACACACACACACACACACACACACACACACACACATGTGTCATCAGGTTGAAAGTTGTATTTTTTCCAGTTATTATTTAGTTTGATGATAATTTTGTGTCTGAGCCACAGAGACGGTTTCCTCTGTCACTCTCTATTTGTTACGGACCTACCTGTGGTTGCTACGGTGACGTGCAATATTGATGAGCGTCCTCGTGTGAGTGTTTGAGTGTCGGGGTGTTTGGTGTTAAGCTGTGTTGTGTATTGATTGACCTGCACTAGTGATGAATCTATACACAACACTGTGCAGCTGTTTGACTTCAGATCGACTTGATAAAAGTGAGTTTGTTCACGTCAGTGACTGTGAACATGGAGAACGTTGAACTGAAGATCAGGTAAAAACAAGTTGTTAAAAACCAGAGTTTATCTCCGATATTCAGCAGGAAACTTCTAAAATATGAAGAAGTCGGAGGATTGGTTCGTGGATTTGTTGCAGCCGCAGCTCTTCTGGTTCAGGAAAGCAGAGGATCATGGGTAATATTGCTGCGGGGGGGGGGGGCGCTGTCGCTCAGTTACAGTTTCACGGTGTTACTTTAAATTCAGTTGAGGACTGTGTGTGTGTGCAGCGTCGTTAGAAATCACCTGGTCACAGATCAGATCCCACTTCTTGTCGTTGTCGTACTGACTGAGGATCTTCACTTTGTCCGGAGGCAGATTCATCGTGTTCTGGAGGAAGAAACAGAAACTGAGACTTAAACAACACATTCGTCTTCTCGAACGTCGACAGTGAACCTGCAGAAATAAATACTGACGATCGATGGATGTCATTTCCAAAAAGCTGAAGTCGGAAAAGTCGCTATAGTGTGACGCTAGCTGCTGTGCGTGTGTGTTACGCCGGTGCTGCAGACTTTTTAACTTTTACATTCACAAGAACCTTTGAGCCCCAGAAGGGAAAGAAACACTGGATCACGATTTGTTCACAACAACATGAGCTGATCCTGAATGAACTGGTTTCTCCTAAACTGTTTACGTGGACGACAACTTAGTTTATATAGACAAACACACACACACACACTTAAACACACCCCTGACGTCACAGCCGTTAATCCACCGGTGTCCCGTTATTAAACACATTCCAGCTCAGCGACACACACACTAATTATAACACAAACACACACACACACACACACGACGCTGGGCCTCTCGACAGGAGACTCCCGCTCAAGGACGACACACACTCAGCTGCTGAAAAGCTTCATGTCCTCCTCATGTCTCATGTGTTTCCACCGAGCGTCCATCACGAACTCAGACATCAGCTCTGACTCATTGTTTCAGCTCCGGGCCTCAGAGTTGATGAAACACGTTTTTACATTTCACTTTTCTTCTTCCATTGTTTGATGCTGTTCTTGTTTTGAACAGAGGGTTGAAGCAGCTGCTGAACATTTGGGTTTAGAACTGAGGCCGTGCTGGAAATCAGGGGCAAACAGCAGAATAAATCAATGTCGCTCTGCTCCGCATGTGAATCTGATAAATCAGCTCTGACGAACGGAGCCAGTGGATCAATGAGAGCTGGTCACATGTGGACGACTGGAAACTGACGAGAGGAAAACAACCTGTGTTCAGTGGAGAAATGAATCCAGCTGGATGAGGAGGATGAGGATGAGGATGATGAGGAGGATGAGGAGGATGAGGATGGAGGTCTCGTTAGTTCATTTGTTTAATCCGGACTGACTCCTTTATGCCTCACAAACATTTGAGCGAAAGTTTCACCACAGATTCTTCCAGGATTTGTTTTGCACTTGACATTCAAACCACCTCAGAACGAGAGGAGAGCTCATCGCTGCACCGAGGCCCAACCGTCCCTTAAATTCATCCTCATTTACATGTCTTTACATACGGGTCGGAAAACGACCTCTTACTTTTTATTCAATATATCGGACGATGTATGAGTATCAGAATTTATAAAAAATGTAATATAAGTACTCCTATCAGCCAAATACATAAAGTCACAATTTAAATCCACGTCAGAGAAATAATAAATGAATCCATCGAATATGAAGAGATGAACACTTCTCTCCACATCTACAATCCACCCACTGCCGCGTCCGCTGCCGGGAAATATGCAAAGTGTTACGTAAAACACTGAAGGAAAAAAAGTGTCCACGTGCATCTGAACACAAACTGCACCGTGCACGTTTCTGTCTGAGCTTCTGATTTAACTTCAGTAAGATGAAGCTGCAGAGGATCATGATCCCCCCCCCCCCCCCCC